TTTTTTCCTGTAATGCACTTTCAATATCTTTACTTGCTTTCCTAGGAGTAGTGTTAGGTTGTAAGCAGAATCCATTCATCAATATATCATACGACCCTTGATTTTCAAGGCGCCGGAGCACCATCTTTGTTTGTTCGTTCATTCACCCCATGTATCACACGACCGTCGCTCCCTGAGCAGCGCGCCGGAGCACCGCCCAAAATCCACCACCAACACCATCACTCGACGGCCTTGTAGTTCAGGCCGTGAACCTAACAGCCGAGACCAGTTCCTCTCTCGGCTACAATCGTTTGACCAGGAAGACAGATCAAACAGGCGCAACACTCATCCATCCAACACTCATCGAAACATCAACGCACGGTAAACCGTGCTGGCACGCCCGCGCACAACCGCACCGCACCCAAAAGCAGGAAACCCCGTGTTAACGCACATCCCCTCGGCCCGGAACTCCAGGCCGTGAGATTTGCGCGGCAGACAGACCCATGCCTGCCATGCAAGCAATTAACAGAAATTTTGATGTCAAAGTTAAAACCGGAATCAGATTGCTAAAATTGATAGTACATGGACAAACATGCCTTAAAAGTAAGAGTTCAGGCTACTAAATCAAAATAAACCCTTATATTTTTGTTACAAAATACAATATGCTTTAGAAATGACCATTGATCATTGCATGTGGCAGGATCACACAGATGAGCGCATTGGGCGCTCGGTTATTTTAGTTGGTTGAGTTGAGAGATGACTTTGTAACTTAACAACTTAAATTATTATATTACAAGAAAAAAACTTGGGCAAAAGAGGACCTATAAGCCCCAATTAATATCCTCATGTTATAAAAATAGTTGGAGTATGAAAGTACCACTGAATATTGGGGGTGAAATTATATTTTTTATTTTGATTTTACACTGATAGAATATTTTCTGTCAGATAGAACTCTCTAACTCTCAGATTCCTCACTTTCTTTTCTACTCTCAGGGCATGTTTACGTATTAGTAATGGGTATGGGAAAAAAGGGAATGATTTCCATTCCTAACTTCCCCTGCGTTTACTTGCAATTATGAATGAAAAAATAAGTGGGCCCCACCTCAAAATTCGTAATCACATCCCCTCAAAATTAGGTATCAAATCAACTAGGGGGGAGTAGTCGATACGATTCCCATTCCTGTTTTCTCTTAGTAACTTCCAAAAATACCCTTACCACTTTATCATAATTCCAAAACACCTAGTAGAAGTAGAAGAAAATGTATGAGGATTTGGTGTTGAAAGTGAAGAGTTTTGGTAGGTATTTATAGAAAAAAATTACAGAATTTTTGGGTTTTTTTTTTTTTTAAAATTTCAATTTTTTTCATTTTTTTATTGCACAAAAATTGGCTGCCGTTGGATTGGAGGAAAAATTCTGATCGTAGAGCCCAGAACGCGACACTTGGCAGAGAGCTGTTGGCAGCACTGTAGCATCACTGTAGTGGGGCACTGTAGCACGCTAACGTCATCCAGCCCGCAGGCTGTCTGTGAGAGTCCGTATTTAAAAATTTTAAAAATATTTATTAAAGAGGAATAAACATTATTATATATAAGTAATTATCTTGGATATATATATATATTGTTTTACGTTTGTAGTACTATTCCAGTAATTATAAGCATTTTATTTTATTAAATTTTTTTATATTTTTATATATGTTGAATTGAATAAGGGGCTTTATTTTAATATACATACATATATATATATATATATATATATATATATGTGTGTGTGTGTGTATTATTATTGTCTTAGAATGTGTTTTAAAACATTATAATTCTTGGTGTAGAGTTATTGATGTGGGTCATAGAGAGAAATATTTACTAATTGAAGGTGATAGTTTTCCTCTGCTTTGAGTTTGACGTGCAAGTCAATTGTGCAAGTCATCTTTTAAACTTGCAAGCTGTTGGGACATTAATGAAAGATATAGTTGAGTCATTATTCTACTAGTACGTGTCTTCATAATATACATTCTCATCTTGTAATATACATTCTCATCTAGTACGAGTCATTTTTCTTGGACGCGATATATATATATTTGTTAATTTGTTGTGTCTTGTTCAGTAATCTAGATGGGAATATTATTTTAGAGGAGGGGGAATCTTCCAGGCTCAAGGAAGATCGAGGACACAGAAGTACAAGTAGTGTTGCAGGAAAACGACCAAAACTGGAGGAAGTACAAGTAGTGTCCTCTATAGGTACTGATATATGTATACGTCTTGACCAAAAAAAGAAAGATATATGTATATGTATTATAAAGTGGATTGAAAACACCCCACATAAATTTCACATGTGTCGAATACACTAAAAAAATCTTTCGCAAGGAAAGACTTACAGGTCGCCTCCTACCTGCTTATTGTTACTCTTTTTAAAAAAAATCAGAGAAGATGAATGCAATGAGCTGGGAAAAGATAAGAGCAACGTGCTCTCTGCTTTTAAGAGAGAGAGTTGCTCTGCCTTAATAAAGCTGAACTTTTTCATCTTTTTCCCAAAGACTAGAACACCAACCTTTTTTGTGCCATAGAATATGAAATACTTTCTCTTTAATTTTTCGACTGCCAACCAGAAATCAGACTTGTCTATTTTCATTTGTCACATATATAATTGAAAAATTCCATCTCTCTCTCTCTCTCTCTCTCTCTCTCACACCCACACACAGAGGTTAGCAAGGATTCTCACTAGGACTAGATTAAAATTTGATAATTATATCTAACTTTTAGTTTTCCACAAACACAATATTTGACTATTTGCAGGAGTCTAACATTATTTTGTGGAACTGTCTTTTAAGATGACATAAAACAATTAGAGACATTAATCACTGTTCAAACCCGGCAATCATTCAAAATACAATCCCTAAGCGAAGGGGGCCCGTTTCCAACCAGTAGGTCAGGTCTCTCGGAAAGGCTAGAATGAGGAGGTTAAGTGAGGAGGTTATTTGAGGAAGTGAAATCTCACCATCAACAACTAAAAACAAATGACATTGGGGGGGTGCATTGGGGGGTCCACACCCCTTTTGATGGTGAGATGGGCCTCCTCAAATAACCTCCTCACATAGTCTCCTCATTATATAAGCTCCCCAGGTCTCTAGCACAAAGACTCAAATAATTAAGCAGAAAGCCTAGTGGAATCAAAATTATTTCATCTTATTGGGCCATATATACTTGAAATGGAATTCAGACATTTATCTTCTCTCTATTTTTTTTGGTGCCAAAAGACAAATTTTCCTCTCCGTCCAAATTGTTCCTCTCTTTTTCTCTCTGCTCCACCCTGTACCCGTATAAATTAAGCTAATTTGATCAGGTGTATACTGCAAGCACTGGTATAAGTTTCAATGCACTTCTTTAAACTCTCTCTCCATCTTTTATATGAATCATCTCTGTAGTCTCAGGTTATTAGCTTTCCACACACATATTTGACTATTCGCAGGGGTCATATAACAAGCTCCCAACTGCTGCTCATCAATAAGCTTGAGTTATGGGGGTCTCCAATCATGATTCAACAGCCGTAAGGTTAGTTTTTGCTCTCTTTAATTCCTGATTGAAAGGATAGTTTCTTTCTCAAACTCTCGGAACACTTTTTTTTCTAAATTATCTTATTTTCATTTAAGCTCAATCACATACAGTTGTCCCCATCCAATACACTGACGCCCAAAACGACAGCAACCACGCCAAAATTCTACTAGAAACGACAGCCACACCCATGACCACGCCCCATACCCCCACGCCCACAACCACACATCATATATTTTCTACTATCTTTCTATGTTTTTCTACGTATTTACATTAGCATCCGCACGGTAATAACGTACGGACATCGGAATGAGATATATATATATATACTCACAGGGGCGGAGCCACACTGGGACCAGTGTGGTCTCGGGCACCCACTCAATTGTTTTATATTTTGAAAGTAATATATTGTTATGTATTTCTATATGTATATTATTTCAAATACTTTACGTTTTGATATGTACCCGCATGTGCTGTGACGGAGCTATTAAGGCACAAGGAGGTGTTTCAAATTGCCAATTTGCTCAACTGGTAGTGGTGCACTCCATGTGTACAGATTACCTTATTTCCATTTTCAACATTTAAGTAAATATCTTTGTCCTTTTACTTTCATTTATTTTTATATTACTCCATTTACTTAAGTTTACAATGTAAATAAGGAAGTACCCCCCATTTGGATTTAAATAAAAATAGTAGAAAATCAAATTCCCACCAAATCAAAATATGAAAAATCAGTTTTAGTGCAAAATACGATTTAGGCTAAAAATGATGGCTCATTAAGTCAATATATAATTCATACTAAAATCCCATAAAATCCAGTTTTCTTATTTGATGTGTAAGGAATAAAAGCCGCCAAAAATTATATTGAGAAAATAATTATTCCGAAAAACCATTTTTCATACTTAGTCAATATTTTTACATAAAACATTTTTTCATGTATGATATGAATGCATGAAAGGACCTAAGGTTTTTTTTAGTTTGTGAAATTTGGATTTTTTTCTTTTTATTGGGTTTAACGGGGGGAAAAACTTTAAAGATATTTGCTAAATCGCTACTCTTTGTCTATCTCTTGCAATTTTTCTTCCTTAGAATGTATTTGTCTATCCCTTTGTCGAGGACTTTGTCTATCCCTTTGTTGAGGACAATTATGATTGCAACCAATAAGCAATATAATTCTTGACATATGTGATATATATATATATATATATATATATATATATATATTATTTTTCATATGTATTGTGAGTTCGAATTTTTAATTCTTTACAATTTATAAGAGGCCCTCACACACATGAAATCCTGGCTTCGTCACTGTATACTCAGGATATTAATTTGATAATTCTCTAACTTCCACTCTTCTCCATATTTGGCTACTATTCGCAGGAGTATGTGTTAATGTATGCATTTTGAATATTTCTTTTGGCTTCCCTTGACAATTTTGTAATAGGACAATCATTGTATTTTCTCAAGCTCTAGTCTAGATTAAGAATTACATCTCTAGGTATGCTTAATTGGCTACATTATGATGGACAACAATGGGTTTGACAAAAGGTAAATTTTGCATTGCATTACATTGCATTTTCCAACTTCTGAAGATTATGACTAGTCAACCTCTGCCTCAGTAGGAATTCCAGCTCACTGTTCCAGCTGGATCCTACCCATATGTTTTTGTCTTATTCTGCAAAATTCTCAGCTGTCATTGTACGATTCTAACCTAGGAATTTTGGTGTAAAAGGAAACCAATTATTCATTTGGTAGCCGTCACTTTTGTAGGCAAGTTTTGGAAAGTTTCCTTGGAAACTTTCTCTTCTTCCTCAAGAGAAAACCATTTATTTCATCTATGAGTTTTTTCTAATTGATTTCTTTTTGAAAAAACTGCTTTTGAAATATGAATCTACATCTAGCTATTTAAATCATTCTCACATATAGATCTAGATCGGATTCATGACTGATTTCTTCAAGAGTATGGTTTCTTGAAGAAATTGGTCTTTCTCCCTTGAATCCAAAGTTTGGTTTCGTTCTAAGTTGGAGCTTGCAAGCTAGTGCCATGGGATGAACGAGTTGAAGAAGGAGCTGCCATTGCCATGAAGAACTGAGCTTCAAGCTTTGCTAAGTTGGAGAAGAAGATTGCACAAAGGAGGTAAAGCTCATCTTCCTAAATAGATCTAGGTTTTGCTTGAGCTTGCTTGTATTCCTTTGTAAGAATCTTTTTCTACTTAGTGGATTGCCTGGTCGGTTGATGACCTCCAGTTTTTCCCAATGGTGGGTTTCTGGGTGAACAAAATCTGTTTTGCATATCTGTAAATTTTTCTGGGTTTGTGTTCTTGGTGGTTGACTAGTCATCTTTATCTGCTGTTTGCTGTTTACTTGATAATGATGATTTCACACACTTTCACCATAGTTGTTGCTAGCACAGGGGATGCCTAGATTGACGGGTCCTTCTGAGTGCCTAGGTTGTCACTAGTAATCTTCTAGGGTTGCAGGTACTTTGTGGCATGCTCCGTGTGTTCTTTTGATTGTGATTGTTCATGACTAGTATTGGTCAAGGTCTAAAGTGTGTGAAGCCCGTTGTGGTTGTGTTTGTGTCATTTAATTTACCCCTCGTCACCTAAGTGCCAATTTCAGTATGTACTGAATATTATTTGGAGCTAATTAACTGTGGTTTACCGAGAGCGAGCTACTTGGGTTTGTGAATAATTCGTACTCTTCAGAGAGGATCTTGCGTCATAAAAAAGCTTGAGACATGAGCAATCCGGTTGGTCAAGTGTCAATTAAGTTGAGGTTAATTTCTTTATGTACTCTAAGACCTTTTTCTTTTTCTTTTTTTTGAGAAGATTTTTCTTTTTCATTAAGTAGATGTTTTATGAAACAATAGGGTCTCGCATTTGCAGTGGCTTAAACATGTTTTATTAGGTGGCTTTAATCCAATCCACCATGACCAATTAAACAACTTTTCAGGATCTTCACGCACGTATTGTAAATGGCTTTAATCCAATTCACCATTCATTATAACCGTAGTACTATGTTTTTGACACAAGTTTTGACACAATTTTTAGGCCATTAGATTACTCCACTTTCAATAGATGAGATTAAATTTGACATGAATTTTTAACATAAAAAATAAATTAAAATGTTTTTCCTTCTCTTCTCTCTATTTTCTTGGGTTGGTAAATTTCTCTCTCCTCTTTCTCTTCCCCGTCACCTTCTCTGCTAACTCTTTCTTTTATCAGACGAAAAAAAAACTTGTTGATCTTTCTCTCTTTCTTTCATTCTCTTTAACTGCAAGAAGAGGTACCTCTCTAGAAATGAAGTTAAATTGTTGTTAATGTTTCTGAATCTTCGGGTTTAGGATTTAGGGATTTTAATCTTCGCTTTCAACTTTGAACGAAGCCATTAAAAGCCTTAACACATAATATCGCCCTGGTCTTGCATATTCATCACTTATATATACATGTTAGAAGTGCATATATAACCGATATATACTTAATTTTTCTTTCTCTTGGACGCGATTATATATTTGTTAATTTGTTGTGTCTTGTTCAGTAATCTAGATGAGGAGGGGGAATCTTCCAAGCTCAAGGAAGATGGAGGACACAGAAGTCCAAGTACTGTTGCAGCAAAACGTCCAAAACTGGAGGAAGTTGTTATTAACGCATATCATCCTCAGCCAAAAATATTCCTTCCAAAGTGGGAAATCATATTTACAGTAGCATCTGCATTTGCTGTGTTCGTTGATCCTTTTTGCTGCTACGTTCCCGTCATCATCGACCACAGCACGAGCTACACTTGGGACGAAACGTTGTTGTGGACAATTTTCGCCTTACGATCAGCCGGCGATCAATTTTATGGAATGGACATTTTGGTTTTCATAAAGCGACGTCGCGACAATGTTAATGCCAAGCCATTTGGGGCCTCCTGGACAAAGTATTTTGGCGGTCCTGATTCCACAATTCGGAAGGTGTTGAATGGCCAGAAATCACTTAGGTTCCTAGGCATTGTACCTCGCATTTGTGCTGCTCTTCCCATTCTACAGGTATATAAGTTCGTACCTAAGAGAAGCTACAGCCATCTTATCTTGTAAATATTATCTTTTCTAGGTTAATAATTAAACAGTAATCTTTATATGTTAAACATTTATCTTCATATGTTAATAATTATTTAATATTGGTTACACAGTAATCAAATTTTAACTGTTGGCTTTAAATGTGTCCAGGCATTCTTAGTCGTTGGACTTAAAACAGACCTTGTTCGCCTGTACCAACAGCTATTATATCTAATTGCATTCCAATATATTTTACGGGCTTATAACTTCTACCGATGGCTCGATCAGCATGCTAACATAGAGACCGCAGTAAAAAGATTTCTTAAAGCTGCTCTAGACTTCCTTCCATTCATCCTTGCTGCTCATGTAAGTTTCAATCTTAATCTTCCATATTTGAATTTAATATTGGTTACTATTGATTATTGACTATTTGCTTGTTGGTCCTTCAGCTATTCGGAGCCTTGTGGTACTATTTTGCTGTGGACCAAAAGATAGCTTATTGGGAGGAGCATTGTCGTAAATTTGATGGTAAATTTTATAATGATAGTTTGTTGGTAGAAGCATGTTGGGATTATTTTGATGGTTTCTATTGCAGTAGCTTCACTCCAAAATACAATAAGATGTTCAATGTCTCCCATTTACACGAGTCATGCGCTGTATAAGCGTGTTTGTAAATTTGATGGTAAATTCTATAATGATAGTTTGTTGGCAGGAGCATGTTCGGATTATGTTGATCCTTTCTATTGCAGTAACACTCTAAATCACACGTTCAATTTCAATGTCTCGCGTTTACACGAGTCATGCGCTGTACAACTTTCAGCAAATGTAACAAGTTTACCTTTCGATTTTGGTATATATCTATCCGCTCTCCAATCTAATATGACAAGCTCAAGAGATCTTCCAGTGAAGATGTTACAATGTATTTGGTGGGGCCTGCGAAATTTGAGATTTGTATATTTATGAGGCTTTTTATCCTGTCATGATGATCCCCCAAAAATAAATAAATCATGTTTTGATCCTATAATTACAATTTACAAGGATGTCATGGTAGTAAACACGTTAGATCTTATATTTCTGATTTTTTTTTAAAAGGTTCTTATATTCTAACACTACCAATCAATAATATATATATATATATATATATATATATATATATATATATATAATTTAATGCAAAGTTTTAAACCCATCAATTCTTCCTTGTGTAATGAAATTTCTTTATCTCAGATCATTTCAAATCGATATGTCAAATTGCAACGTGGACATGAAATGGCAAAAAATGAATGTTAAAGTTACTCCAACCAAATAGTCAAATCCTACATGAATTTGAAGGCTAGAAGAGATATATCAAACATGACATTTGAGCTAGGTAGCATAAGGAATTTTCATTATAACCTGAGATATACACTTATCAAATATTCATTTTCTTTTTGCAGTTCTTTTGGTTCAAACCTCCAGACCAGTTTCTTTAAGGACGAAATCATCTTTTCGATTGTAATCTCTATAAGTGGCTTGGCACTATTTTTAGTATATCTCAATTCAAGGGTGCCGGTTGGTGTTTAAACAAAACTGATGTCTTTTTTTTTTGGCTTAAGTGCTACAGTACCCCTTGAAACATTGGTCAATTCTCACTTTACCCCCTGAAAGTTAAAGTGACCCACTTTGCCCCCTTGACCAAGGTTTGATGTTCCACATTACCCCTACCGTTAACTCCATCCAAAAGTCCGTTAAGTTTGATGACGTGGCAGGGGTATTTTAGTAATTTTGTGCACCTAGGTTTTTTAATTACTTAAAAAAATTAAAATATAAGCATAAAATAGAAAATAAAATAGATTTTAGAAAGGAAGAAAAAAAAAAAACAAAAAACCAACCCATCCCTTCTCCCCCAATCGCACCAAATCCTCCCCTTCCTTCTCTGTCCTTGTAATCCCCCCACGCACCAGAAACCCAAAGCTCCCCGCAACCCACCCTTCTCCCTGTGCATAACTTGGAAAGCCATCACCCCCCACCCGCAACCCATCCCTCCCTGCGCAGAACCCAGAACCTATCCATCCCTTGTGTGAGTTTTTGTAGAAAAGATGATTCGTAAATAAAGCAGGGAATTGGAAGCTTAAAGTAGAGAAACAAAAAGAATTACCGAGTGGGGACTGATGGGCTGAAGCAAAGAATGGAACAATACATCATATAGGGAATTGGATCAATACATAGGATAAAAATCTGGAAAAATAAGCAAAACTGACTGTTAGTGACAGAAAAAATTCCCAGAAACCGTCGCTAAAAGTATGAACAAGCCTTTTCTGACAGAGAAAATCTTTAGAGAGAGAGAGAGAGAGAGAGAGAGAGAGAGAGAGAGAGAGAGAGAGAGAGAGAGAGAGAGAGAGAGAGAGAGAGAGAGAGAGAGAGAGAGAGAGAGAGAGAGAGAGAGAGAGAGAGAGAGAGAGAGAGAGAGAGAGAGAGAGAGAGAGAGAGAGAGAGAGAGAGAGAGAGAGAGAGAGAGAGAGAGAGAGAGAGAGAGAGAGAGAGAGAGAGAGAGAGAGAGAGAGAGAGAGAGAGAGAGAGAGAGAGAGAGAGAGAGAGAGAGAGAGAGAGAGAGAGAGAGAGAGAGAGAGAGAGAGAGAGAGAGAGAGAGAGAGAGAGAGAGAGAGAGAGAGAGAGAGAGAGAGAGAGAGAGAGAGAGAGAGAGAGAGAGAGAGAGAGAGAGAGAGAGAGAGAGAGAGAGAGAGAGAGAGAGAGAGAGAGAGAGAGAGAGAGAGAGAGAGAGAGAGAGAGAGAGAGAGAGAGAGAGAGAGAGAGAGAGAGAGAGAGAGAGAGAGAGAGTTGGGCTGCCAATTATCTCCATCTAGAAGAATAGAGTTATTTTGGAAACAACATTTTTGTTATTCCCAGAAAAATAGCAAGGAGCCCCTGTTTGGTACATTCATGTATATATTGAAATGTGTTTGCTACAGTTGTTCTTAGTACATGCATTTGTATTTCTTAATGCTGTTGACTTTTGACAAGATAATCTCTCCGCTGTTGATATTCTCTCAGCTTGCAATCTTGTAAACTATTTTGGGAAAATGGTTCTTGGGGGTTCTCGTTTTGGTTCTGGTTCTTGGAAGGTTAGTTTAAGATATGAGAGAGAGAGAGAGAGAGAGATAAATTTTTTAAAGTTTTAAATTTTATGTTTGTATTTTAATTTTTTAAAGTAATTATTTTTTTATCCATGATGGAAGTGGGCTCCACTTTGCCACATTACCCACTCAAATTTATGAATAAAAAAGTTAGGTGCACAAAATTACTAAAACACCCCTGCCACGTCATCAAACTTAACAGATTTTTGGATGAAATTGACGGTAGGGGCATTGTGGAACATCAAACCTTGGTCAAGGGGGCAAAGTGGGTCACTTTAACTTCCAGAGGGTAAAGTGAGAATTGACCAATGTTTCAAGGGGTACTGTAGCAATTAAGCCTTTTTTTTTTGACAAAGCGATATTCTAAACTAAATTTATGTCTTTAAACTTGAAGCTCCTCCATATAAATTTCCGTATTAATTCTTGTGTATCTATAAAATTAATAATTATATGCAGGGGTCGAAAAAAGTGTCAGATCAGCTTAAATTGCAACAGAAGATTGAAACGGTATATCCAGACATAATAGAGCAAATGCATAATATGTGCCGTCTCAGCTTAGCTTCACTAAAGAAAGTAAGTAGTTGGATTAATTTGCTCTGATTCTTTCTATTAAATTTTGTTCAACATTAATAAATTATATGAGATTGGTAGGTGCCGTTGCTTGAAAGTACAGATGATAAAGTTTTAAAAGCAATATGCGAGTATCTTAAGCCAGTAACTTATGGCGAGGATGTTTATATCATTCGAGAGGGAGAACCACTTCGAAAGATGTTTTTCATCACACGAGGCACTGCATTGACCTACACAACTACTAAGGGTGGAACAACTTTGTGCAAGTGCCTTGAGAAAAGTGATTTTTATGGAGAAGAACTTCTAAATTGGGCATTCAAATTTTCCTCATTTTCTAAGTTACCTATCTCCACTACAACTCTTTTGTCCCAAACAAAGGTTGAAGCATTTTCAATTAGGGCCCACCACTTGAAGTCAATTGTCGCTCCATTTTGGTGGCATTTTCAGAGAGAGCTTCCTCGTTCTCAATTGGAGCATTTTGCAGCTTCTTCCATACATGCATTCTAGCACCGCCGCCGTGCAAAGGCTAAGGGACCAACTGGATGGGACAAACTTACATTAAATTAGCCAAAACTACGACATCCAAAAAAAGAGTGTAATAAGCACATAAACCAGGATCCGGATCCTCTACTTTGATTTTCTCTGCCATGATCTGCTATACTTTTATTCTCCATACGCCACATCATTAAAATTTAATCTAACGGATTTAAAAGTTGATACATCATCTTAAAACAAAAACTCAATTTACTCCTAATTAAAAAAGAATAAAAAAACCCTAACACCCAACTAACTGTTAGTTAACGTCCAAAGCTCTTTTTTTCTTCTTCTTCTTCTTCGTGTTCTGTCCTCCTCTTTTTTCTTTTTTTTTTCTCCTTCTTGCTTCAGGTTTTGTCCTCTTCTCCTTCTTGCTTTAGGTTTTGTCCTCTTCTCCTTCTTGCATGGTTTCCCTAGTAGAGTTTCAAGTTAGAATTTTTTGTTTGTCAGATATTATATGCATTTTGATTACAAGTTTAACTTATTCCAGGTTGATACCGTGGCATACCATCTGTCAGTTTTGAGAGAGATGTTTCCTAATGGCATAAACCTCCTCTCTCTTTTCTCTGGGATTGGTGGGGCAGAAATAGCTCTTCACTGGCTTGGTATCCCTCTGAAGAATGTCATGTCGGTAGAGAAATATGCAGTGAACAGAAGTGTTGTGAGGAGTTGGTGGGAGCAAACAAACCAGAGAGGGAATTTGTATGACCTTGAGGATGTACAGCAGCTGAATGGTGACAGCCTGGAGCATTATATGAATTTATTTGGTGGGACCGTGGGAGTCCATGTAACAATCTGAAGCAAGAAGGAGAAGAGGACAAAACCTGAAGCAAGAAGGAGAAAAAAAAATGGAAAAAAGAGCTTTTGACGTTAACTAACAGTTAGTTGGGTGTTAGGGTTTTTTTATTCTTTTTTAATTATGAGTAAATTGAGTTTTTGTTTTAAGATGACGTGTCAACTTTTAAATCCGTTAGATTAAATTTTAATGATGTGGCGTATGGAGAACAAAAGTATAGCAGATCATGGCAGAGAAAATCAGAGCAGAGGATCCGGATCCCATAAACCAACTACTTTTCTTTTTTTCTTATCTTGTGTGGGTATTTTGTTTGTGTTTGTGTTGCTTTGTTGTTTTCGATTGTTTACTATTTGTCATCCTTGGTTCGTTCCCTTCCAATGTTGAGGTGTGGAGTGCTTTGAAGGGAGCATTTTTCTCACCGCTTTGAATTTGTTTTTTGGACCTTGTAACATGCAATAATTTATTATCATTTTGAAGTTGTGCCTTGTTTTGAGTTTTTTAAAGTGTTTTTCTTCGGCCTTGGCCTTTTTATATATGGTTTCCTTGTTTTGGCTTTGTACAAGCCACTAGGTTTCTTGTTAAGTAATGCTCTTGTGACCCAAAAATTGAAGGAAGTTGAGGTTCCACCCAAAACCAATTAGCAATGGGGGGAGTAGCCCAACTCCTTATAAGCCCTTGTTAAGTTTCTCAACTTTCCAATGTGGGACTTTTTACCTTCACATTCTCACACGCCCCCGCACATGTAGTGAATTTTCAAGCCTAACACGTGGACAACACATTTTGGGTGACATGGAGCACGTGTGGCCTTTAGGCTTTCACACGTGGGCAACCCGCTCTGATACCATGAAGGAAATTGAGATTCCACCCCAAAACCAATTGGCAATGGGGGGAGTAGCCCAACTCCTTATAAACCCTTGCTAGGTTTCTCAACTTTCCAATGTGGAACTTTTTACCTTCACATTCTGACAAAAACGAGGCTAATATTTTTGCAGTAACACCTTTGAATAATGACAATACCAAAAAAGCCTTATTTGCTTACTAAAAGTATTTAAAAAGTGTCTTTTGACCTCTAGGCAATAGTTGTTGTAAGGGTATGTTTTAGGTCGGATATGAAGGATAAAATTAGGTATGGAGACGCGTTTCGGGAGATTTATGGATATGGTGTTGGGAATTATATTGTATCTTGAATTAAATAATTAATTCATAAAAAAATAAAACTTTCGTTTTGTTTGCTGTTCTAATCCAATCATTTCTATTTTATATTTTTTTGCTCATTCAAAAATTATTATTTTTATGAGTATTATTTTAAGGTTAGGAATCCCTTCTCCAATGAATGCGAGAAGGGGAAATCTCCGGTTTCAATATTATGGGTATTGAGGCAGGAATGAAATACGAATGGCTTACTCGATTCGACCTGTTATACAATCATCTTCATCATAATCTTATTAAGAGCCAATATAGCCCAGTTCCCTTGTATTGTATTAACCCTCTCAACAAAACCATGGCGGCTCTTACCTTTCCATTGGCAACCAAACTCAATGAAAAGCTCGGGTCCGTTGCTTCTGACAAGATCTGCTTGGCATGGGGCCTTAAAGCTGATCTGAAAAAGCTCAGCGCACAATGTCAACCGTCAAAGATGTCTTCTTGTATTGGAGATGGAACAGATTTACAGTAAATTAGTCAAAACTACCTGATTAGTTTTTTTTCTTGTTCAAAACAACCATATTTACTTGCGTATAAGCATAAATTTTTAAGAGACATCGTTACATTTCTCAGATGATTTTATTAATTTGAGTTTTATAATTAATATATAGATGAATAAGATATTGATATATCATATAGTGCATGCATACGTATTATAAAGTAGATTGAAACCACCCTACATTCAACATGTGTCAATTACCCCAAAAATAATATTCCGCTTATTGTTTCCTTTCTTAACAACCGGAAAAGATGAATGCAAATGAGCTGGGAAAAGATAAGAACAACGTCCTATCTGCTTTTAGGACTTGTCATGGAATATGAATTATTTCATCCTTTTGGCCAAAGCAACAACACTCCAACTTTCATTGAGCCATAGAATATGAAATACTTTCTTTAAGTTTTCTAGACTTGTCTATTGTCCCGCTTGAAAAAATCCATTTCGTTCTGTCCAAATTCTTTGGAAAGAGAGATACTTGAGCGAGAGAGTGGGGTCAATTTTGGAGAATTATATCTAAATGTTAGTTTCCCACGAACATATTTATCTCTAATTAGCCAGAAAACAATTGGAGACATCTATCATTGTTCAAAGCTCAAACCAGGGCAATCATAAAAAGTACAATCGATAAATTAATCAAGCAGAAAGCATAGTGGAAGCAAAATGATTTCATTTTTTAGCTAAAAACAATAATTCTTCGATGCTGTTATTTCCACACATTATTATTCCTAAAATACCCTTGATTTAATTCAAACTAAGAACCAATCAAGACTATAACATGAATGCAAGTTAAATGGGCAAGAAATGACCATTTCGGAGTAAATACCTTCTCCCCAGAAAGTGTATTTCTGATGCATTTTTTTGTGTTTGCTCTGCTAATCCTGGAGAAGAGACCTCCTGGGTTTTACTTCTTCGCTTCAAGTTGTTTTTGCTTCTCTTTCTTTCCTTCAAAACAGATTCTGGTACACAAGAAAATAATCAATCTTGTAAAATCAAAATTTCAAAACTAAAGTAATAACTTCTCTTCATTTTTTTATATTTATTTTGGGTTATATCGACTATCAATATACTGAATAAGTGGGTTTACATGAGTAGATGTTTTTTTTTCTAAGTCCTTAGAAGTTATTTACAAAATAAAGTGAGTGAGAAAATAGAAAGAGAGTGAAAATAGCTACACTAATTCTTTTGGCAACACTCCAACTTCATTGGGCCATAATTGAATTCAGACATTTCTCTTCTCTTCAGTTTTTGCCAAAGAGACATTTATCCTTTCTTCGGTTTGTCCAAATTCTCTCTCTCTCTCTCTCTCTCTCTCTCCCCAATGGCTTCCTCTCTTCTTCTTCTTGTGTCAGTTTCATGGTTCTCTTCCTTCCTGACTCTGCTAGTCTCACCCGCACAAGCAGTCACCTGCACCTCACAGGCATTCAATAACAACAAGCTCTACTCCAGCTGCACCGACCTCCCCTTCCTCAGCTCCTACCTCCACTGGACCTACAATACCTCCAACTCCTCTCTGTCCATCGCCTTCGTCTCTATGCCCTCCCAATCTGACGGCTGGGTAGCATGGGGCATCAACCCCACCTCCACCAAGATGGCTGGGGCACAGATACTCTTGGCCTACAACACAGATAGTGGGATCCCGACCGTCAAAACCTTCAACATCAGCTCATACACCTCTGTGGTACCGGGAAAACTCTCTTTTGATATCTGGGACATCAGCTCCGAGTTCTCTAACGGAACGTTCAAGATCTTCGCCGCCGTTAAGGTTCCCAAAAACGAGAAGTCTGTGAACCAAGTCTGGCAGGTGGGCCCCGGGGTCAACCAAACCTCTGGTTTCCCCGACAAACATGACATCGTCGGCCCCAACCTCAAGTCCTTTCAGACCCTGTACTTGGCAGCTAGGCCCATTACGGGCACTAGGATTAATCCCAATAATCCTGGCACTAGGATTAATAATCCCAAAAATAGTCGCAACTGCCATTATCCCGGTACGGGCACTCCTCCCATTAGGAAGACTAACATGTTTGAGTGCTTTCCCGCTAGTGGCCTTGGTGGTGGTGGTGGTGGTGGAGGTGGTGGTGGTAGTGGTGGGGGTGGTAGTGCAGGAGGGGCTTTGAGGATTGGGAGTGGAGGAAACGTGGTTTTGTTCTCTGTTTTGTTTTTGGTTCTTGCAGCTCTCATTGCTTTCTAAATTTGGAATTTTGGATTTGGTCTTCCTAATTTTATTTTTCTTCATAGTAATGTGATCGATGAGGTTTATTGTATAGGATTGGGGCTGGTTCGGGGGAAATTATGATATAAAGTAATATGTATATTATTTGTATTTCATGTATGTATATATTGCTAAGTGTGTTGTAGTTGTGTAACATGAATATTATTAAATTTTAAATTCTGCATACTTCATTCAAGAGTTTCTAATTTTTTTCTTCTCTGGTTTCAAAGGCTTAATAGAGTTTGTTACCAAGCTCCGATTCGCTTGGTCATGTTCTCATCCCTTTTATATTGTTGAAGATGAAACAATTAGTAAGTACAAAATCTTTTTTGATTTTGGTTACTTGCTTAATAGAGTTTGTTAAGTTAAATCCTTTTATTTAGTGGGATGTGTTCTTATTTTTATACGCCGATGGCACATTTTTGGAAAAAAAAAAAACAATAAAAATCTTTTTTGATTTTGGAAAATTGGTATTTAGGTGACCACAAGATCACTAGTTGAACCAACTAGTCAAGTGCCTTGAAAAACTGCAAACGGAGTAAGCAGCAGAATCACCAATGACAACGAATCAATGAGAACAAGGACTCTGAGTTAAAATGTAACAGATGATAGATGACTTGGCTCAAGAAATCAGATGGCCTATGATATACTGTACCAAAGGATTACTCAATAACTCAACCAAACAAACTGCACACATACGTATTATAAAGTAGATTGAAAGCACCCTACATTCCACGCTTGAAAAACTCCATTTCTTTCTGTACAAATTCTCCCTCTATCAGTATCTCTTCAGTCTCAGGTTAGTAAGGATTCTCACGAGGACTAGATTAAAATATGATCAGAAGACTTGATGGTTGTTGGTGGGGCAAAACAGAGAAGAAAGAAAAATATATATATTTTAATTCTTTGGCAAGAGAGATACACGTGGAAACATTTGCGCGAGAGAGTTAGGTCAGTTTTTGGAGAATTATATATCTAACTACTTTTAGTTTCCATAAACATGCCAGAAAACAATTTGGGACATTAATCAATGTTGAAACCAGGGCAATGCCTTTAGCACGAAGACTTATTGCTACTTTTGGAAAAAATCAGAAAAGATGAATGCAAACAAGATCGACGTCCCTCTTTTTTGCCAGAATTATTCCATCTTTTTTGCCAAAGACAACAACACTCAACTTCATTGTGCAATAATAGAATATGACTTAATAAAGCAGAAAGCAGAAAGCATAGTGGAAGCAAAATTATTTCATCTTTTTATCAACAATAATTCTTTTGACAACACTCCAACTTTATTGGGCCATACTTGAAATATAAATTCAGACATTTATCTTCCCTTTTGATTTTGCCAAAAACACACACACACACACACACTCACTCTCTCTCTCTCTCTCTCTCTCTCTCTCTCTCTCTCTCTCTCTCTGTATAAATTAAGCAACTTCCCAATTTAAACGAACCATAGAAATTTGATCAGGTGTAAGTACTGGTAATTTGGAATGCACTTTTTTATTTTATTTTTTTAACAGAGGGCTTCTCTCTCTCTCTCTCTCTCTCTCTCTCTCACTCATATGAATCATCTCTTGATGCTCGGGTTAGCAGAGGGCTTCTCACTAGGACTAGCTAGATTAAAATTTGATAAGTATAAACAACTTTTGTGGTACTGGCTTTTCACATGCTCCTTGCTGCTGCTCATTGTTCATAGGACATCCTATCAATTAATAAGCTTGAGTCATGGCGGACTCCAATCATCGTTACTCAACAGCCATAAGGTTAGCTATTTTTTCTCCCCTTTCTTTCTCAGAACACTTTTTCCGTTTTTTTCTTTTTAAGGAAATATATAGTAGACAAAAAGATGTTGTTGCATGTAAAATAGACTAACAATCAATTTTGGGGTTTTTCACAACATCCCCTAAGATTTTAAATTGTTTTCCCACAACTCATTTCCATTGATTATTTGTCCAAAATTGATGATTTTATATATATAAAAAATTCTATAAATGATAAAGTTGGCCTTTGCAATCATATTGCATATAATTGAGGTTGATTTTATCATTTGCATAATTTTTTTAAACGAAATCGTTAGTTTTTGGACTAACAATCAAGAAATTGGGATTTTGTGAAAACAATTTGAAACCTCAGTTGGTGTTCATGTTATTTTTGAAACCTCAAAGGGTTTTGTGAAAATATCGAAAACCTTAGAGGTTGTTAGTGTAAATAATTCAATAAAAAAAATCGTCTCAAACTCCCAGCCACTAACACGGGATCATGTTTGGGTGGCTGTGGGTTGGGGTAGTTCGAAGAAAGAGAAAAGGAGAATCGATGGGCAATGAGTGGAATAGAGGGTGTTTGGCAGGGAGGTGAAGATCGGGGGCCGGCAAAGGAGTGCCCGGATTGAGATGTTATTTTTCATCTATCATTTATTCATTTAGTTTTAAAAAAGAGAGTCAAATATGGTTATACATATAGACAGTGGTGGAGCCAAAGGATTTTATGTGTGAGGGGGCCTCTCACAAAAAATTCGCTCACAATACGTACCAAAAGTAACCAAGAGGACCAAAACATCATATATATTAAAACAAAAAATATTTACAACTTTTTCCTTTGGTAATCTACACAAATTGGAAATATCCACTAAACTCAATAGGCAGTTCCCTTCCATTGAGGGATCCCTCAAATAATTTTATTTGAGAGACGCCTTTTAGGGTATCCTACGAATTTTTTTTAATGATCCAAATTGTCTATTTTTCAAGTCTTCATTCATAGATTATCCTTGAAAAAAATAATACAAATTGAAAAAATCATTAAGGCATCTAATTGAGACGAACAAAATCAATAAACATGGTGCTTCAAGAAAGTACTTAAATTTCAATAATTTAATTAAATGCTCAAATGATATCAGATTCAATTGATTTTTTGTAGAGATGATCTTTGAATGAATATCTACAAAATAGATGGTTTGGACTAGTGAAATACAATGCGGAGTGAGCCGTATAAGGGTGTTATCCAAATAAGCTTATTTGAGGGATCCCTCAATGGAAGCTCTTTGTATACATAGGATTATTTTTTGATATATAATATAGAAAAACGAGTAGTGAGTGGGGCTAGGGACCACATTGCTCCATTAATGGCTCCGTCCCTGACTATAGAAGGTTTTGAGACGGGTGGTGATGTTATACATTGAGTTAAAGTGGTGAGTAAAAATGCTCTCATATATTAGGGTTTAAAATGTGGTAAAAATATAATTTAAGATATTTAGAGCGAGCATGCAACAGCAAGTAAAATATAAGAAGGAAAAGTTGCTAAGTTGTGTCTCGTTTTTTACTTTTCAAACAAAATGTTATTGTTGTATCAAACAATAGGACTTGAATGTATGCTTATTTGTGTGTCTTGTTTAGTATTGAAGATCCGAATGTAGAGGGGGAATCTGGTAATGAAGGTGGAGCAGCCAAAAAGGGAATTTCAAAGTGGGAGACAGTATTTGCGGTATCATGTACACTTGCTGTCTTCCTTGATCCCTTGTACCCTTACATTCCTGTCATGATGGGGGATAACATGTGCTACTATTGGGACCTAAACTTGATGTGGGAATTTTTTGGCTTACGATCAGCCCTAGATCTCTTTTATGCAATGGACATAGTCATCTTCTGGCTTCAGCAGAATGGTAATAATGCTAAGGCATCTGGGGCACCCTCAAAAAAATGGGGAACAACAGTTAAGGGAACCATCCGTAAGCTGTTACCCTTTCTACCTCGTGCGTATGTTGCTCTTCCCTTTCCGCAGGTAAGAGAAGATGCCTTTCATGTGTGTGTGTATATATACATATATAAATCATTGTATAATTAATGTGTGCAGGTAATAATTATTGCTGGACGATATTCAAGCTTTAATAGTTTTTTTCTTCTAATGTTCTTCATTCCGGCCCAATATATACTACGGGTTTATCGCACGTACGGACTTCTCAAGCAATGTCCTGACATGGAAACCGGAATAGGAAGATGGCTTAAAGCAATATTGGATTTTCTTCCCTTCGTGCTTGCTGCTCATGTGAGTGCCTATCTTATCTCTCACATATATATAAGACAAAAAAATCTCACACAATATTTTGTTAAGTACACGTCCATTATCGATGTTTGAATGGATATATAACTTTTAATTTATTAATTTTTTTTTTCAAGTTGGTACCCCAACTTTTTGTCTAGTCTCTAAAATTAGTACCATAATTTAAGGGTGCACACAGTCCAATTTAGTCCAATTTTCACCTAGAATCGAAACTGAACTTTTCATCCAATGCAGTCCAATACGGTTCTTAGTAAAAACTGCAAAAAATCGAACCAAGCCAAACCAAGCCTTGATTTTATTAGATATAAATTTAGGTACTTATAATTGGGATGAATTATAGTAGTTTCCGTTTAAAGTTACAGCGTTGGTATGACGTTTGCAAATGTGTCCCAATTGAGTACTCTACTTTAAATTGTTGGTCGTTAATTCTCCTTCTTTTAGCTATTCGGAGCCTTGTGGTACAATCTTTCTCTTCAACGAGAGCTGGATTGTTGGATGCTTGCCTGTCGAGATAAAAGGGTGAGATGTGATATTTCTGAAACAAATTATTATTTCTACTGTGGTACCGCCCCTGACATCGCCAAGAATCTCAATACCACGCATATAATCGCATCATGCCCTATAAATCCACCAGATCCAACCATCTTCGATTTTGGTATATTCCTCTACGGTATTCAGTCTAACATGACAAGGTCAACGGATCTTCCACCAAAGTTGTTTCAATGTTTTTGGTGGGGGTTACGAAATCTGAGGTTGGTATAAACCTAGATATCATGAAACTGTTTGGTGTTTAGTTTGGTGGTATTTATCTATGTAAGAATCGATGGGGATTTAAGTAACGGTTTCATTTTTGCAGTTCTATTGGTTCAAACCTCCAGACCAGTATCTATATGGTGGAAATCTGTTTTACGGTTTTGGTATCTATAAGTGGCATAGTCCTATTCTTAATATATCTCAATACGAGGGTACAGGTTCGTTCGTAATCATGTGTTTAAAAATACATATGTGTGTGTGTGGCTTTGTGTTTTTGTAATGTTTCTATGTTTATACTTATGGGTTCAAAATGAACTCGTTATGGAAATAACTGCATGCAGATGTCACAACAAAGATCAGGTCAGCTTAAATTGAGACAGAAGATGCAGATGATGAATCTGAATCTAGATGTAGATTTATGGTTGTATAAAAACGGCCTTTATGATAAGAATTTGAAGATGGTCATCATGAAAAACTTACACCAAAAACTTGAAGAAAACAAAGAAGTTGATGTGGAGAATATTCTCTCTCTTGTTCCTATTATACACCAAAGACGTATTATGTGGCTTCTCAGCTTGAATTTACTAAAAAAAGTAAGTACTGAATTTGTCTAACAAATTATGGAATATATATATATATATATATATTGCAAGAATTTGAAGTAAAGAAAAAAGTATGTACATGTTTATGGGATTTTTCATCATAACATAACATACATGCGTTCGTATTTGAAGCCAGTATAAATTTATATCCCTTGCTAGATTAATTTATTCTCTCTGGTTTTTTCTTGAATAAAATTAATATTATATAGGTCCCAATGCTGGAAAATATGAATGAAAGCGTGTTGAAAGCATTCTGTGAGCATCTTAAGTTGGTGAAGTATAGCGAAGACAAGTATATTGTTCGAGAGGGAGAACCACTTGATAAGATGCTCTTCATCACCCAAGGTACGGCATGGTCATACCCAACCAATGCAAGTGGTTCCTCAGCGATCAAGCGTCTTATGAAAGGTGACTTCTACGGAGAAGAGCTTCTAAATTGGGCATCAAAATTGAGCTCTTTTTCTGAATTTCCCAACTCAACCAGAATTGTCAAGGCCCATACGAAAGTTGAAGCATTTGCCATCAGAGCCAACAACTTGAACATTGTTGTCTCCAAATTTTGGTGGCATTTTAGAAAGAGGCTCGATCACATAGAGGACTCTCAGTTGGAGAGGTGGCAAAGTTTGGCAGCTTCTTCCATACAAGCAAAATGGCGCCGCCGCATGCAAGGCCGAGCTAGGGGCGTAGGCTGGGATAACTTTAAAATATATTAGCCTAAAAAGTATCTTATGTTGTATCAACGTCAAAAACACAAATTATCGCATGCTATTTCTTTTTCTTGTTTTTGGTTACTCAAAACCTATATATATATATATATATATATATGTGTGTATATATATGTTTTATGAAATATGATGAATAACAACTAGCTAGCTACCTTGTTCTTCGGCTGTTTGGAGCTATGTGGTACTATAACGCTATTTCATAAGAGATCGATTGTTGGTTCTATGCTTGCCACAAAAATGGTAATAACTGTGATGCCAGAAATTCTTATAGCTGTGACGACCTTGCGTTCAACAATATGACGGTTCTAATTGAAAAATGCGCTACAAATCCATCAAACGCAACAGTTTTCGATTTGAGGTGTGTGCATAAAATTTTGAACCTTCGATATAAGACACTGAATGATCAAAAACAACTTCTATTAAAAAATTTATTTTTATAGATTGTACTATCTAATATATTGCTCCATTTCATGATTTTCATTTGCAGTTCTTTGGGTTCAAACCTCCAGACCAGTCCCAGAGCAGGGGAAACCCTCTTTGCGATTTTGATATCTATAAGCGGCATGGTATTATGTTTAATGTGTCTCAATGCAAGTGTGCAGGTTGGTCTAAATGTGTGTGTGTTACGTATATATACATATGTATATTTGTTTTTGTTTTTTCGTTAACCTTAAAGCTCCTCCATACAAATGTTTCTTTTGAGTATCTATATATGTGATAGTTGCTTGCTAGCTATATATAATCACTGATCCTACAAAGCTTAACCACACATGCATAGTATAACAAATTGAGATTTTATACAAAAGGAGCTCGATTGATATTATAATCGGTAGTGGAACTAAATGTCTACATTCTTCAACAGTAAGATCACCCTCAATACTCATGTACAATTTGAACCTGTAAACCTACTTGTTATGCATGTGGAACAGACATATAAGCAACTGGCAGAAAGAATATCGAAGAAGCTTCAATTCAAAAGCAAGATGCAAATGATAAATCCGGAGATAGATTTGTGGTTATCTAAAAACTCACTCCCCAAGGATATGAAGATAGTGGTCCTTGTCCATAGAAGGTCATTTGACAACAACATAGTCTTTGGGTCCCCAATTAGTCGCTGTAGTTACGATTTCATTATGACAAGTCACAAAAAGTAAGTTCATGGATGATCGATATAAGAATATACATTCTACTTCTAATTTTGCTAAGTTCATGGATGATCGATATAAGAATATATATTCTACTTCTAATTTTGCTTTTGGCATGTGATTTTAATTGCATTCTTTGGAAATCATTTGCTTCAAAAAGTTAAATGTGTTGGTGGGGGCTTGTGAGCGAGGAGAAATTGTTTATGGTCAAGTTCGGAATATAATGTCGGTGCAATTTCTTTCCTTTATGGCATGTTTACTAATCCGGAATTGAATTAGGGGGAATTGAATTGAGGATGAATTGAATTGAGGAGGAGTTGGATTGAGGTGAATTAGATTCCGGATTCCTAATGAAGTTGTTTACTAAACCATATGGATTGAGGGGAGTTAGATTCCGAATTCCTATTAAAGTTGTTTACTAAACCATATGGAATTGGGGTAGGAGTGGTACTAATTACTAAAATGTCCACATTTTTTGGTTAAAGTAGATGGCATATTTGGAATTTTGAAAATTGTGTGAGGATATAATGGGTAAAAAAGATGAATTCCTAATGGGTGAATTCTCCAGGAATTAGAATATACCACCTCCAATTCCGGAATTGAATTCTTCCAAAATCAGGAATTCAATTCCTAATTTTGTGTGGGCCCCACTTACTTTTCAATTCCTTAATGTGAAGTAAACGCAGGAATTCTCCATAGGCGGAATTCAATTCCGGATGAGAATTCCAATTCCGGATTAGTAAACATGCCATTAAATGAATGGGATGAGCTAAGAGCACATGGGCCCAACTCAGAAAAGGGTGGTGTAGATGAATGCAACGAATTAATGGGAAAAGCCATGGAGGCCTCTCTTGTAACATCCTATCCAAGCATCTTCAAGAGAAGTAGCAAATTAAACTTTTTAAATTAAAGTTTGTTGACCTATGTGGCAATTTGAAAAGGCTTATTTGCTACTTGAATAATTTTTGCTTTAATAGACTTTTCAATTTAATTAATGCAACATGGCAATGGGTCGAATCAAGGGTGGGTATGCCATTCCCATCCCCATCTTCATTAAGCATTTTTTCCCCATCCCCGCTTTCATACCCGCAATCTTCAAATCGGGGATTCCCCATCCCCGCCTTCAATGAGGAACGGATTCCCCGACCCGCCCTATTATGAAAAAATAAAAATAAAAAGCTACTTTATTAAATGAGAAAAAAGCATTATTAGCACAAGATATGTATCAATTTCATTTTTATTAACTAAAAATCTAGACTAGTTAAAAAAAAATTAATACATGTCATAACTACATGTTCAAGACATGATCATCAGTATAGAAGTAGCACCACTATCATACATCTTAGTAATATAATTATATGATAAAATAAATTACATGTATGTATATATTCTAAATGGAGAGGGTTTGGGTTTGGGATTAGAAAACCATCCATGCCTGCTCCTCCCCGAACACCATAACCAAAAAATTCTTCAAACCCGTCCCCATACGCATTTTTTATCCTTCATACCCGAAGACCCTTACCCGTAGGGAAAATTGTCATCCCTAAATGCAATATCATGGAATAGAATGAATAATATGAAAACATGTATTTATTATATGAAAAGAAAAAATGCATATTTTAAACATATTCATGGTAGGTTTTGTTTTCTAAAGTAAAATTAAATGTTTGAAGAGCCAAAGTCAACTTACCAGTCCTGAAGAGAGAGAAAGAGGTTGCAGTTTTGATAACTGAGGTTGAAGAGGCTGTTGGAGAGAGTGGCTCACCTATTTTAGTATTCCAAAGCTGTTAAAGAGGCTGTTGGAGATGCTCTAAGAGAGAAAGAGTTGCGCAACTTTAATAAAGCAGAAAACATAGTGAAAAATCATTAGAGCATCTCCCACAATCTCTTCAACTACTTTGGGATGCTCAAATAGGTGAGCCAGATCATAAAAAAAATATCTTCGACAACCTTGTCAAACTCAGTTATCAAAGCTGCAACATCTTTCTCTCTCTTCAGGACTGGTAAGTTGACTTTGGCTCTTCAAATCATTTAATTTTACTTTGGAAAAACAAAACTTACCTTGAAAATGTTAAAAACATGCATTTTTGCTTTTCATATAATAAATATATAGACATTTTTCACATGTTTTCATATTTTGCATTATTGTCCTTGATATTGCATTAATTGAATTGAAGAGTCTGTTGGAGCAAAAATTATTCAAGTAGCGAATAAACCTTTTCAAATTGCAACATAGGTCAACAAACTTTAATTTGAAGAGTTTAATTTACTACTACTCTTGGAGATCCTCTTATAACTTCATGGTTTTGCTAAAGATAGTATATATTCTTAGCTAGGGGAACACTCAAACGATATAGAACATATCACTAAATACTCTCTCTCTCTCTCTCTCTCTCTCTCTCTCTCTCTCTCTCTCTCTCTCTCTCTCTCTCCACCCTGTACCTGTATAAATTAAGCTATATACTTGTGAACATTGATCAGGTATATCACTATACTGCCAGTACAGGTGTAAGTTTCAATGCCCTTTTAAATTCTCTCTATTTAAATCTCTCCATCTTAAACACACAAATATATATTTTACTATTTGCAGGAGTCAATATTATTTTGTGGTGCTGGTATTTTAACTAGCTCATTGGGACTAAATGTCTGAAAGCTTTCCTCTAGGACTCCATTAAAGAGCTCAATCAAGCTTGGAAATCACAGAAGGTAGAAGAGAGAGTGAGAGAGTGAGAGAGAGATATTTGATATTGAAGGAATGGTTTTCATTATTATTCCAAAGTAACAGTAACAGCTTATATATACACGTAGATCAGTTCAGCTTTAATTAACACTAACCAGCTGATTAACTTAACAACCTGCTAACTAACTAGTAATTGTAACTAACACGCCAGCTCACAGCTCACAATATACAACTAACAGCACATGGGCATAAGAGCTTTAATCATGTGGTCTGAGGTGTAGGCTAACATCCCCCCGCAAGCTAATGCTAGGAGAACTCAGCATTAGGTTGTCACGAAGATAAGAGAATTGAGAAGTGTGTAAGCCCTTAGTAAAGATATCCGCAAGTTGATTGCTGCTTGGAATATGAGATACCACCATATCACCACGAGTGACACGTTCACGAATAAAGTGGAAGTCAATTTCAATATGCTTTGTGCGTGCATGAAATACAGGGTTACAAGCAAGAGCAAGAGCTGAAATGTTATCACACCAAAGAATAGGGGGTCGATCAAGAAACAAGTGAAAATCACAGAGAAGTTGTCGAAGCCAAGACATCTCAGCCGCAGTAATCGCAAGAGCCCGATATTCTGCTTCTGTAGAAGAACGAGACACGGTGCTTTGTTTCTTGGCACACCAAGAGATGGGATTATTGCCTAGAAAAACAACATATCCAGTCGTGGAATGCCTATCATTCACATCACCGGCCTAGTCAGCGTCAGAATAGGCCTGAAGATGAACATAACCAGAAGTGGAATGAATCCCATGAGTGAGGGTACCAGCAAGATAACGTAGAACACGCTTCACAGCAGCAAAATGGGGCTCAGTCGGAGTGTGCATAAACTAACAGAGAGTGTTTACCGCAAAAGCAATATCAGGTCTGCTGAAAGTTAGATATTGAAGCCCTCCCACCAGACTTCGAAAAAGGGTAGGATCCGAGATAGGAATACCATCAAACTTGAGTAATTTTGTAGTAGGTAAGCAAGGAGTAGGACAGGGCTTGCAGTGTGTCATGCCAGCTTTAGCTAGAAGATCAGTAGCATATTTAGACTGATTCACGTGAATACCAGCAGAAGTATATTGCACCTGAAGACCCAAAAAATAGGTTAATTTGCCAAGGTCCTTCATATCAAACTCATGACCAAGAGCTGTAATGGTTTGTTGAATC